TTATACATAAATGTATAAAACAAAAAACTACCCATAAAACAATGTCTCAGGCATCAGGCAACATGCATATAACCCCTTTGTGCACTAGCTTTCTGTGCAGTAGCTTTCAAAGGCATTCAGGCATTCAGCTGTTTAGATGTTTGGCTACCAATGTGAACAATTCTGACTGTCTGTAAGTTTTCGTAAAACGGCCCATTCCACTCCAAGCCATTCTAAATGACTTTGATATTAGCAACTGAATTATGCAGAAATTTTGAAACATGCACTGATTTCCCATTTAAAGAGACCTTATCTGTGTTTTAATGACAAGATTTCCAGAAATAAACTCAGAGACCCTTAATAACGGCCAAAAAATACACTGGCCTGGCTGTAGTCTGGAGCGAGACTGGCACAATCTCTATTTCCTGCTCTAAGGGCCAACCCCCAGCTCCTCAGGGGGTGCATGTGCCACGGAAGCCTGGGGGCCTACAGAATTCATTTCATTTTGCTGTATGAAATATTAAAGAGTCCTAATATCCACAGATGTTCCCCACTCTGTCGATCAGAGGGGGGCTGAGGCACACTCGCATGTAACGGACTGCACTCTGCCGAATCTGAACAGCACCGACCAAAGAACAATTTTACTGAATTCTTTTCTTTTAGCTGATTCTAAGGAGGAAGTGGTAGCAATTACAGTGTGAATAAGAAGCACTTGGCATTTAGTGAAATCAGAGCAGTATTTAGAGTGTGCGTGTGTGTGAGAGAGAGAGATGGAGGGGGGTGGCTGGGAGAAGACTGGCACTAATTACAGATCTGTAGAGTTGGACAGGAAGAGTGATCTCAGAAGGCCAATCAGAGAGTCTGGCTGGGTCCTGAGACACCTGCCAGCAAACACACACACACACACACTTTACACTGACAGCCTGCCTCCCGTTCCTGACCCACTAGAGAGGAAACGACTCAGAACACACACCAAAGAGAATCCATCCTCCCAGTGGAAGTCACTCATCTGTTTACCTAACCGCAACACAGAGAAACCCACCCAGCTCAATGTGACTAGACTAGAACGCTACCTGCAAGCTTTATCAAAGACCAGGGATGGTATATATAGGGCCTGTTTACACCCTGCATTAACATGCGTTTTTGGAGATTGGTATTCTGTCATTTAAGATTAATTACAGCTTTGTGGGCAAATTAAAAATGACAATATACTACAAACACAACTTTTACTGAACATTATGTTCTAACGTCAACTGAACCCACACTACCATGTTGAATCAAACGTCACACTCCCAGCTATAATCTTATTGGTAGATTGGACAACATGGATATTACATTATATTTTTCTTCATTCAAGTGGTGTATCACAGATTACAGGTTCATGAACCCAGTATCATGAATCAAATGGTGAGCTGAGTGTGCTAAACCCTAAAGGTTGATTTATACATGATTTATACACACACAGTTCTGATGTACATAGTCAAATAGCTGTACCTGTTCCTGAGAAATAATGGATCAGATAGCATAGATTAGGTTATATTAGTCATAAAATAGAGCGTTAACATGAATACTTGAAATATCTTGCCACAGCCCATTAACTGAATACTGCTGCAGAAACACACAGTACACCTCAGCATTTTGGTTATATCTGCATTTTTTGGAAATATGTTAACATTTTGCTCATAGACAAGCATTTATTTTACAGTGCAGAGAGCCAACATGGCCGTCTTCACTTCACTGTGTAAAATGTGACATCAAAAATATAGTTCTCTATATAATATCTAATCAGAACATCTAGTCTGAAGCAGAATATACAGAAATCAAAGTGCCAAGTCTTACATTTTCCCTCTCTTTCAGCCTCCAATAGGTAATATTTATTTCACTTGGATTTTTACCCATTGTTCTCCCCAATTTAGCCGTCTCCAATTCCACCCGCTAGTTAGGACTCCCCTAATCACACAATACTACCAACGCTAGGAGGGTGAGGGCTAGCACAGGCTTCCTCCGAGACCTGTGAAGCTCCACCGCTTCTTTTCGAACTGCTGCTCACACAGCGTCACTGGACAGCTTAACACGCTCGGAGGAAAGCGCCAACCACCAGTTCTGTTACATCAGCTAACAGACGCCTGCGCTGACTAGCGTTGTGCTGAGTGATGGGGGGGAGAAGGGGGGGGGGTTCCTACCCACCCAGAGAGCGAGGCCAATTGTGTTCTCTTGGACTCCTGGCCACGGATGGCTGTAGCATCACCAGGGATCGAACTTGTGATCTCCTGATGATGGGACCAACGCTTAGACGGTTGTGCCACTCGGGAGCCCCATTTCACTGTTTTTGTAATATTTTGGTGGTGTGTCATTTAAATGGTTTTAAAACAGCACACCTCTTCTGCCAGTTCATCCTTGACTTGCCCCGTTTGGATTCTGTGCCATTTCTGGTTCGGGTTGAGTATTGTTTGTGACTTGTCCCATCTCCAGTCACTACTGGATAACCAGTCAATGTCTGCTTGATGCACAGCGCTACAGATTCATATGAGGCATTAGGTGTGCAGGTTGTGGCCTCTGGAAGCTACACTTAGCTATAAACCCCCTCCCTGCATCTTGACACAAATATGTTTACATGCATCTTTGCAGAAGCAAAAATCAGCATTAAGAAATACACAAAGGTATTACTGCACACGCTCTCTCAAATCCTAAAAAGCGTAAAAATCCACAAAGTGTAACCAGCCCCCTCACATACTCTGAGATATCTGATCCCTTGGGGGTCCCAGGTGTGGCTTTGTTAATCAGGTTTAATGTGGGCTGCTACACTCCCCCTCCCTGCTTGTCTCACTCCAGTGACTCCACTGACAGTTCTGGCATAGGGGGCATACACATGCGCGCACACACACACACAATCTAAAACACAAGCACGCATGCACACGCACCTGCTCCCGTCAAGCAGGCCGGATGCTGCATGGGTAACTGTTTACTTTGTCTGCCAATTAATTAAACAAACTCTGGATGACAGTTCCATCTCTGCCCCCATCTGCCTTGCCCCCTTTAACAGGCCAGCACAGTCCCCTCTGAACCTCCAGAGGACCGAGAAAAAAGCCCATAACACACAGGACCAGAGCACAGAGGCAGAGCCTGTTAACTGGCTACTGTTAACGCTATTTACACTGTCGTACAAGCTGAAGGCTGTCAAATGTCAAGGGATATTTCTAGGGGTCCATCTTGCGTTCCATCATGATAGTGACTGGAAGAAGACAGAAAGGCAGCCTCTGCAAAGGAATGCCCCCATTTCTTAATCCCAACTGTATGGCTCTTTGAGGAGCTACATTGAAAGGTTCAAAAAGTGCATCCAATCACTTCCACAAACCTCTGAATCATACTGCAAGAGGTTTAACAGAGCATCTCAGGAATGCTGTCAAAAACTGAAGAAAGTGGGTGCAGCAGTTATAGCTGCTGAGGGAGGGCTCTGTTGTTTATCGTATTAAATGAAGACAATTTGTCAAAAATGTACTTATGATGTTTTTATTAAATATATTAAATAAATCGGGTTAGTCTCTAACTTCATCACGTAGAGGGGGAAAAGGTTAACTGTTAAATGCGCTCTTACAGAAGGGATACCAAAACGCCTAAACATGCCTACTTATCTCCTACAGTTGCGCTGCAGTTGTCTCTACAGCGAGACTTTTCCGTTTAAAAACTGGGAAAACCTCTTCTGATGATTATTGTTTTGAAAAATGATAATGAAGTGAATATGCAATTCGGTGTCTTGGTGTTACCTGGTATGTGAGCCAATCGCTGTGGCATTGTCCTCTTCATATTTTGCACATTCATAAAAATATGCAGTTCAGATAAATTGTGTCTTTGATAGCTTGGTTGAATTTAGTAGCCTATACATCAGTGACTATTTGAGGTGCACCATTAATAAAATTTTATGGCAGATTGCAATTGCTGATGCAATCTGCCATTTTTTTTTGATGGGCAGTTTTTTTATTCCTTTGTGCTATCTTTAATTGCTGTCATCACATCTATTTTCAAACGACACACAAAGGATCTAACAAAGCCTAAAATAATGTTTTACCATGTAGCGCCATCTTGAATGAGCAAATGAATGCACAGGAATATAAGTCACCTCCTATTGTTACTCTTACAGAATCAGTTTTTCAGACAACAAAAGTAAGTACTTAATGATTTACATGCATGCTCATGGTTTTTTATGTAGCAAAGGCTGATGCAGCATCATGGATTTGCAACTCCAGCAGTATTATTTCTGCTTGCTTTCGACACATTTGATGTGTTACTTTAACCATTAACAACCACTTTGTGTCACAACCACTAGAGCACATGGTTTACGGAGTTGAAGACTTCTTTTTAGAGTGCGGACGCTGACGTCTACACCACTAAAATGCCTGAGTAAAAAGGATAAAATATTCAAAAACAATCAAACAATCAAAAAACAGGCAAAGAAAACACTTCTACTTATTACAACCATTTTAAAAAGCTATATGTCTCCAAACTTTTGATGGGCTGTGTACATCTTTCATGTTTCATCACTGACCAGCTTCACAGGGATGCAGTGGGTGGTTAAAATATATGTTTCTTTCGTTCACTCCAATTTAATTACATTCATTCCCATTGTTCTAAGCATCCCCCATAACTACCAGCCTAGGAGAGCTGAGGTCCAAATCTAGGTTTCTCCAGTGTACGTGATTCTAACCACTGCATCTTTTCAAACTGCTGTCCACCCAGCATTGTCAAGCAACATTTTTGAAATAGAATGCTAACTGCCTGACTCTGTCTACGTGTCCCAGTAGACCCCTAAGTTGGAAACTACATCTTTCCCACTGCAATAAAAAAAAACACAATAATTTCACCTTCCTGGACCTGGCTACGGATGGCTGATGGCACCACTGGGAGTCTAACGAGGGTCTCAGGTCAGTGTGCGTGTGTTTGTCTAACCTGAGCCTCCTCTTGAGCTGCAGACTGTCGTGGATTATCCTTTTCACAAACTCCAGCTCACCACCCTCAGCCATGATCTCAGTCACTCCCCCTGTGTTGACAGAGCTGGGTGGGGGTCTGCGAGAGTTCCTTGAGTTCACCCCCTGATGGAGCATGTGAAACAAAAACAGTGTGAAAGGTGCAGAAACAATAAAGGATCATTTTTTTTCTCTAGCACAGGTTAATTTCAAATTTCGAGCCAGATATTACTGACAGCACAGAAACAGCCCGGGTATCAGCCATGATAAACACTTGAGTTTTGAAACGCAATACTGGACATGTTAAAAAGATTCCATTTTACTTGTGCACACCAAAAACACAGAAAACTCCTCCTCTCTGGTGAATGTTTTCCAAAAGGTCTGTTTTAGTGTTCAAGTTTTTGTGTAGTCAGCAGGCCAAAATGCAGAGAAATTTTAATTTTCAAAAATTTCAAACAATAACCACAGGAACGAAAAAGCGTATTTTAGATGCGTTTTTTTTTAGATGTCTTTTTAGATGTTTTTAAAGAAGTGATGTATTGTTAGATGGAAAATAAGCATTGTCAAGCGTTGTTGCTGTTGCAGCTCTCGGTTTTTCAAAACAAACATATTCAACCACAATGACAGGCCTGCACAGACTGTTGCTTCAGATAAGGTAGATATGCTGGAAATATCAAGCTAGTGGGGATGCACAGCTTTTACCCTGAATGAAAATGGTCCAAGGGCTGCTTTGTCACATCAGTTGTAAAAAGCGCTATACAAATAAATTTGACTTGACTTGACCTGACTTGCTCATGTCTGACCTGAACAACACAGGATTATGTGAATGGAGAGTACCGTGCAGTACCTTAGCCTCTAACTGGTTCGCAAAGAAAGGAGGGTTACACATGCAGAAGTCATAGACAACAGACTCGTCCTTTAATGCATCCATCAGCAAGGTCTTCTGAGGCACCTTCACCACTGCAACACACACAGCGCACACCAGTCAAACTACACACAAAAACGAGGACCAAATTCCAATGAAACACACACAAACACACACCCTTAATGAGGTCTGCCATGTTGTTCTGTTCTACGTTCTTCTTGGCGTAATTATAACAGATGTCATCCACCTCTGTGGCAAGAAAGTACCAGCCATTCATTGAGGCTCCCAGTAGGGGGTAAATACAGGAGGCACCGGTACCTGCATATACACACATACAAACAAGGGACAAAGAGATTACATACTGCTTTCTCACACTGTTAGATATAAAATGTTTCCTTATGTATGCAGCGCTTCTTTTAAGTGGAACTACTTTACTGTAACTGAAGAAGGACCTTACACAACAACAATTCACTGAAGCAACTGATTGTCAATAACATCTACTTCATTTACGCAACTACTGTTATTATAGTAAAAGGAAAAGAACAGATGAGAAATCGATTCCTTTACAACTGAAAAAAAAATGGTGAAAATCTTTTTCGTTTTCATGGTGACCACTGGGGGAAAAAAAAAAGTATACACATTTTTTTTAAGTCATCAAAAATGAACCAAAAAGTGGTTTTAAGTGAAAAAAACTAAATCCAAGAAAAATCTAAGATACAGCCCCTTCAAAATTCAGTCTGAAAAGTAACAAAACCTGAATTTCCCAATAAGAAAATTACATGGAAAAACATTTATTACACATAACGATTATACTATTAGTATACACAGATGTGCAAAGCTCCAAACTAAATCCAAACTGAACTATTACACCGTCTGAGCTCAGCAGAGTCAGAGTGATGACCTGAACTGTCAGAGGTGGCCAAACAGGGTGACGGATTGCACATGTAATGTAATAAAGTGGAGGTAGGCCAGCTCTGCTCATCTATTATCTAGTCACCCACGCTTCAAACAGATCCTCCCAGAGTGACTAACAGACATACAGGGTTGTGTGCAGTCAAAATGTCCCAAAAGGCCAGAGCTAAGCAGTTAGCCCATGACTATTCATCATGTGTCTGACAGTAAAGCTGCAAATAGAACCAAATTCTTCAATGAGGGAGCTAACTCAATAACAGAGCCTCTACTTAATAACAGACGCACTGTGATAGGAAAGATAAACAGAGGAACAGCTGCGTGAGGATTTGAACTGCTTCCCCAGAGAAGTGAGAAAAAAGCAGAGCAGATACAGGAGCATCCTGATGGCAGAGGATTCACTGAGAGACATGTTGCCAGCACAGCCCAACTCTCCAACAGACGTGTGCCTAGCAGTAAACCCACCAGTAGCTCTGCCATGACCTGATCCAACAGCTGGAGGGCTTGTGGGGAGATTTATACTGAAGCTGGGATGTGTAGTGCTGCATTAAAGGAACAGTTCAGCAAAAAATAATTCACACAAGTTCCCCCTTACCCTAATTGTATTGTATCAGCCATGATATGCTTGGTGTCTGATACTCATCTCTTTATTTTGGTCTGGAGCTAGGACACTAATGTAACTAATCAGTAATGGAAGCTTAAACCCAATCAATTAGCACTGTGCAAACTTCATGCCTAAATCATGACAAATTTGTCTCAAATCACCAAGTGAAGTAATCTCAAATGGACAAAGGTACTGCTGGTTTTCACAGTGTACTTTTGCTTACATTTCACCAGTTCCCGAGCAAAATTAAAGAAGCAAATCACACTTGTTAGGCTGACTGTCTATATTTAGGGTACGCCTTAACGTACAGGTAAAGGTGGGCCAAAATCCATTAGAAGTGTTAGAATGGCTATGAGAAACCAGTGACAACGTTCACACCTTCACATCTGAACTGGAATTTAATCAGACAAATATTTGATCTCCAAACCCAACAGGATCCGGCTGTCCACACTGATGCTTGATTGTGTTTGGAAATCATATTTTCTCATATTGGCAGTGCATACCGATGTCGATGCCCCTGCGTGGGCTGCCCTGGCCCTCAGTCAGGTCCTCCACCCAGTGGATGTAGTTGAGGCGCAGTGGGACGGTGGGGATTAGGCGCTCCAGAGGAATCTCTATAGTCAGGCCAAAGTCCTCTTTCAATAGAGTACAGGTCAGAGAACGGACCGCCTCTGGGTCCTTAAAGTTCAACCTGGGGAGGGAAAGACAGAATAGCCAAAAATATAGAGAAAGAGAGAAAGAAAGAAAGAAAAAGAGAGAGAAACAAAGAAAGAGAGAAGAGACATAAGACAGACAGAGAGAGAAAGAGAGAGAGAGGGAGAGAGAGAGGGGTCAATAAAGAAGTATTGCATTACGCTCATCAGTGAAACGTGCTGCGTGTCGACTTTCAGTTCATTAGCGCTGATCACCAGGATGTCCACACTGATGGAGAGACATAAAAGACCCACAGCTCTCCATTTACAGCGACTCTCTAATGGCAGGAACGTGTGCATTATCAACACCAGGAACTCCTCTGTTTACACCCACTCTCCAGTCCCTAATGCATTCTGCGGCACTGAGAGCACGTGCAAAGGAGAAAAGGGAGAAAGTGGGGAGATAGGTGTAATTAAGGCGTCTACATTCACACCTCCAACAGATGTAATTAGACACTTCCCTCAGAGGGGGGGGTGTCTGGCACCTCTGAAAGAAGGGGTCTGACTGTGTGTAGGAGTATCTCGATATAAGAGCTAGGAACCATGTCTTGGCGTGTAAAATGCTGCTGTGTTGTTGAGCTGGCAGCTCACAACGTGCCCTAAGAAACACCTGCAGAGAGGAGCTTATCACCACAGTTCTCACTCTCTCTCTCCAGAGCTGCGAGAGTACCTGGAGCATGTGTACTTTCCACATCACAAGCAGCCTAAGCTCTACTCAAATGAACAGCAAGATGAGAAGTGGGGGACTGCATTTAAAGAAAACCAAAGATGTGCAGAGAATGACAAAAATGATGAGGAAAAATATTTTTCGTATTTTAAGTCATATTTTGAAGTGACTACAATTTGTATTTAAAATTGTATCCACCAGAGCTTTCAAATGATTCAAACTATTATTGCTTTTGTATTACTTGCTCCAATCTGACCCTAAAGACAGATGTTTTCCATTTATAGAGCAGTGTATATTGTTATATGAGTGGACAAAAAAGTTTCATTCATAGCATTTACTACATTTAATAATTCAATAACATCATTTTCATCATGTGAACAAAACATCAATCACAAGAAGCTCAGCATGAAAATGATATGATTTCCATGGAATAAACGCAGTTTCCAGTTTTCATCACTGATGTCCAGTGAGAGCAACAGTAGCTGCATGTTCTCACCAGTGACTCAGTTAATGGGTCCAACTCCTCCAGGATTGTCCTCTCATTCTCATTCATATAGCTTATTTGCCATGTGTTTATTTTTATTTTTTTCCATGACCACTGTCCAGCGTAGTCTGCCAAAGCCTTTTTTTAAGACAATTAAAAGGTGTATTTGAACAAGAAGGCTTCAATCACATATTCTACCATAGTAACATACAGCACACAAGCAGTTCTGTTTCGGCCTGAACTAATATGGATGTTTCTAACTAAGAATTAATAATTGCCTTCAATAATTTATCACGTTAATTTGATTTGGGCAGCTGTAGTATTTATACATACACATTTGTTTTATTATTTCTTACTTAAAGAAATATAACGAGAAAAGAGGAAACTTTCAAAGTAGGTGAGTAAGGTTCTCATATTGTAGTGTTCCAGTCACACAATACTCAAAATGCTTAATGTGTGAAGGGAGATGGCAGGAAAAGCTACCTCAGGAAGGAGGAATCAAGACTGAAAGTCAAGGTTCATTGACTGGGGCACATAAACAGGAAAATGAACATGCTAAAAATGACCACAGAATTCAATTTTGACCTCTGTGACTCAAACTCGAAGAATGCACCATGTTGGTTTCAGAAAAGATGACATTTCCAGCAGGGACTGGCAGTCATTTTGTAACCAAAGCCAATGTTAATGAACACAGTATTTTATAACACTACAATTACAACACAGAGCAGCTGAAGAAAGCAGTGCAGTATGAGAAGTCACCTCTTTACCTACATCTAAATGGGGTTTTATGATAAGCAAACTAGTGTTGTCATTAATAACACTGATTATGTATTAGTGTGATAAATTATTAATACCACTAATTTTTTAAACAAGTTAATGGATTTTCCTAATTTGAACTTCTGAAATTTTCACAGTACCAGCCTGAAGCCCAGCTGCTCACGCTGTGTATGTTACTATTACTCTGCAACTGTAGGGCTATTTTTAAATTCAACTTTTAAATGACAGTTTCTACTGATGGCTCACTTAATAAAACCAAAGTTATTTCCAGCTACCTTTAGGCAGTGCACACTTTTGCTTTTGCTCGCCTTCGATTATGAAACCTTGAAACTACGTTCACAATCAGGTTCATGTTGCATTACTGCAGGTAATAAACACATTTTGATGAAGGTTACTTTGTCCACTCACATAGCTAACAAAAGCACTGCTGTTTAAATGGGGGGAAAACTCTATTTAGGGTCAAATTTGCACAAACTGACAATGCAAATAATTGTGATTAACAAACTAATGCAATTATTCATGATTATTTTAATTGTATGATTGCCCTAGAAGAAACTAAAGAAAGCTTTGTCCACTATGCATGCTCTCAGTTACCAGCATGGCTCCACTAGAAACGCTTCAACATAAAGGTGAACAGAATTCTAATGAAGGAGTTGCTTCAGTCCTGAATGTCATAAATATTAATTAATATACCTGCATATTGATTAACATTTCCATTAATTTGTCGATTCCCTCTACAGAAGCCTACGGAGAGATTCTTTCCTACAGCAAGAACACCATACATGGAGACGGAGGTCATGGTCATGTCTGTCCTTACCCAGAGGTCCATGCAGCAGATAGGAAATGTAAGATGAATTGCAGTGCCATAATGCAGTAACGTCAGAGTGCTGATAGCACAGTCGGACTCTCTGAGGGACAGAGCTAAGGAGAAAGGCCAGAGTTAAACCAGGCATACATCTTGCCCAAAAAGCTGAGTTTGCCAATGAAGAGGGATACAATCACGTGGGGGGATTTTTCTCTGGCAATACTAACAACTTCAAAAGCATTACATTTTACCACATTTTTTCAGTATCAATTAATAAATCACAATTTGTTCAAGAGAGATGAGCACATTAGCTCTAATTAATCTAATATTTTAACCAGGTCTATTAATCTGCTAACGTGACCTTGAGGGTGACAGTATTATTAAATATGAATCGGGTTGTCATAGATGGTTCCCATGGTAACTAGGATAAGTGGGTCACCTACACTGAAAAGAAAACTGGAGTGAAAAAAACAGAAAGAAAAAGAATCAAAATACTCAGAGCCATGTGTGCTTCAGACAAAAGAGCTTGGCAAAGAATAGAGAGAAAGTTCAACAGGGTGAAACAGGACACTAGAACATAACCGACAGAGCAGGCCTCATATAACGGACGACTGACCCAGTGCAGTCAGGACGTTGTTGCTGTCCTTGTGTTAGTGGGCCGGGTCATGATCAATATTCCGAGGAGCTGCTTGCTGCGAGCTGGCCGCCTATTTTTAGCCTCTGATGAGGGAGAGAAGCAGCGGGCTGCGGAACACACCGAGCTCAGTCTCCACGGCGATGGCTCGCTTTAGAGTGCTGAGAATGTGTGTCAGTGTGTGAGGGGAGGGAGGTGTGTGATGACGGCAGGCGTTTGCTGAGAGTTGACGCTGGTGTCGTGGCTGCTGAAGGGCGGAGGAAGTGAATGCGCGGAGGCTGGAGTCTCTGAGGACATGGAGGCAAGGCAGACTCAGCGGTTTACAACAGGGCTGCACAATCTATCTTTTGCTAATTGTTATTGTAATATCCACATCTGCAATACTGATATCGCAGAAGGCTGCAATATGTAAATGAGCCAAGTAACTTAGTTTTTTCATGCCGGACTTATCCTGACCAAATCTCAGACATTCTAGATTAATTTCTGATAATTTGCCCTGTTTAGCTGGATTTATTAATATTATGTACAATTTATGTATTTTTTGGAGCAAAGCTTGAGTCATTCATATCATGAAGCCACAAATGTTTAAAACAACACTATAAGCTAATTTTACTCTGAAGTCAGCATAGCCTAAGGAATCGACTGTCCCCAGAAACATCGAAACATCAGCTTGTAAGTGATTTTTAACACTGTTGTCTTGAATTAGCATTTTACTTTCCCCAGGCATTCAGCAATTTTGAATTGTTGAACCCTGCAATATAATCACAATGTGGTAACCTGTCCAAATTGCACAGCCATAGTTCACACTTATATAGAGAGCTGGCCTTTGCTGCTTGCCTCACTGCACACACCACAGGGATGAGGGTGCGGGCGAGAGAGAATTACTCTCACTGAAACACTCGTGGATGCCACCGGTCAGCACTGACAGGTTTTGAGGCTAGCTAGTGCAAACAAGGTGAGAAAGATAAGTGACAAGGGGGATGGGTGGAGTGTGAATGAGCCGGAGCTACGAGAAACAAGCGCGCACCTCCACACACACACACACACACACACACACACACACACACACACACACACACCTCAGCACATGTATGCCAAAGGAACTGTTGGCAAAAAATCAAATTTACACAATCCTCCCAATTAATGGAAACTTAACTGCACCAATTAGCATTGTGCAAAGTGGATGCCTAAATCACCACACATTCTGAAACATTTACTTATAGGGATGAATCATGAATATTTATGACTAATTCAGATTTATTTACAGTCTATTTTTTTTTATCTGAGGCTTACACTGTGTGGGGTAAATGAACACACTTCCAGCACTTTTTATTAGCCAAACTTGCCATATAAACAAAATTATTTGCTCTTTAATGGGCCAAACTGTCATTTTACATTTTAAATCAGTGGACTATTTAAGTAACATGGATCAAATAAAGTGCTACATTAGGATATTTACACTATGACACTGTAGTATAGGTGTAGCAGCTACATTCAAGTTTTTGTAGAGATCATCATTTTCACACAGTGTCAAACCTACATAAGCAAGTCTGCTTGAGATCACTCAACAACGTGTGCACACAACCATCAGTGTACACCAACATGCATGTGCGTACACAACATGGCCAGACA